AATCTTTTATATGTGAATTTTTCCCATTTAAGCAAGCAAGTCCAATATGTTGTAGCCCACTGAAAGGATTAGGAAGGTCTGGAAGCCCATTACTACTATATTTTTCGAAGTGGACTGTGTACCCATCACTACTCTTGACAGAGCAAGCTTGGATCCATTTTTTCATTTGACAGAAAATTGCAGATATAGTTCCCAACCTACTGACCTATGATAAATTCATCCACATTCTTTCTTTTTCGCAGCATCGCCCTCAACCTACGATTTTTTAACATCAGAATATTATACAAATCGAATTCTGCAAGCACTATGGATTCCGCACCGCTCTGAGTTGGATAAAAAGGGGCTGCAGGGGATCCCTAACAGATCCCTCGAAAACCATCGAAATTGAACAAGTTTCAATTCATAATATATACAGAATATGGGTAGAAAAGCAGTTGCAATAATTGTGATCTGTTGGGTTGTACCGATTTCCATAATCGTCAATCGCATTGTTCCTGAACCTTACATGGTATTCTATTCTTCTATCTATTTACTCAATTTTGACTGAAAGATTGTTTATTTATTTAATCTTTAATCCATTTGAGATTGGCTGACAAGATATTGGCTGGTTTGATAACACGAATCTTGAAACCCGTTTAGTCGTCTGAGCTTTTGAGGGATGGAATTGTTCGTTTGAGCTTGTTGGCTCTATGTTGAGTATTGGTTCCATCTCAAAAGGTTAATTAAGAGGAGTAGTCCAAGCTCTTAAAAAAATACACTAACAGTGTGTTTGTGTGTGTTGATATATAGATGTGATAATGTAGAGATGCATATGTATTGATGATGGTTTGAATTGCAGGATGAGATATTTCACGTCCCACAAGCCCAACAGTACTGCAAAGGCAATTTCAAAAGTTGGGATCCTATGATCACTACTCCCCCTGGACTGTGAGTTTTTATTCCCCTTTTGTTGTTTTATATTTAAATTCATTCACTTCAATTATTTGTTTTTGCATTTTCCTCTCGTTAAATATTTTCAAGTTTCTGGTTTTATTAATTCTGAGGGGTTGTCAGATTGTCCTGTTATGTTTAGTTATCTGAATATTTATGGATAGATAGATTCGGGCACTTCTTGTTCCATGAAGGAAGTTATGGAAGTTCTTGGTATGGTTATCCAGTAAAGAGGATTAACTGAAAACCATCAAGTGGAAAGAAAAATCCTTTCCTGGAATTCTCAGAAGACAAAAGTTCATGTAATTTTGCAGGCTGTTGGACGTGTAGGAGATGAAATAGTATCTTAGAGAATGGAAAGATGGGGGGGGTTGAATAGTCACTGCAAATTTACTCTTCCCACAATTATATCTTTTTTTTTTTTTTTCAAATTCGCTTTACTGGATGTGGAAGTAAAGCTCTAAAGTAGCAGGTTGTATAGGATTATAACACGAGGATGTGGTCTTACTTGGAGAGGCTGAGATAGATTTTTCCTAATAAGAAATTGATGTTTGCAATTTAAAATTTTTGCAGGTACTTGCTTTCACTTGCCTATGTTGCTTCTTTGTTTCCTGGGATGCATTTCCTGCAACGACTTTCATCATTTTCCAACATTTGCTCCACTTTGGTTCTGCGAACCACCAATGCTTTGCTGGCTGTAATGTGCAGCGTTCTGGTTTATGAGATTATCACTTACTTAAAGCCATCTCTTGATGAAAGGAAAGCAACTCTTCGAGCAGTGATTTTGTCATTATATCCACTGCACTGGTTCTTCACCTTTCTTTATTATACAGATGTAGCATCGCTAACTGCAGTTCTTGCCATGTATCTTCTAGTTTTGAAGAGGAAATACCTATTCAGTTCATTGGTAAGGGATGATTTGGAGTGCATCTTATTTGTTTCTTGTCAGTAATATGTCTTATGGTGATTAACGTTTATTGTTAGTTATGTGGCTTCTTCCATTTCTTCTCAAAATGATACTTGAAGAAATTTCTTTTTAGATGAACTTTGATAAAAAGATATAATCTCGTGCTTCGATATGAAATGATATTATTTGATTGACAGTTTTATGAGAGAGAATTTTGCAGAGTACAATCATTCACATCAAGCTCATTGTGATCATCTTAAGAACTGAAAACTCTGCTTTGAATACCGTTACTATAATTTTGTAATGTTCTTCAATGTTCTTATGTTGTTCAATAAAGTTTTTCTTCTTTGCAATTTTAGATTGCCAAATGAAATCAACTTATGCTTGAGCAATGTGCTTAATGCTGTTGCAAAAGGAGAACCAGGGAGGAACTTTAGCATCTTTTTTCATTTTTAGAGGGGGCAGAATTGCTGTAAAGTAATCAGTAGTTAAAGTCAGTATACGACGATTTTCAACTCCATTTCAGTTTTAGTGAGTAGAAAAAGTTTTATCTTCTGTTGTCTCATATACCAGCCAAAATATGATCAAAATATATAGATTATAGTGTTGACAATTTTTTATATTAGTGATCATTCCTGAGCCACGTCTAGTTACAGTATTTATAGTAGGAAAGCAAAGTATCTTTTGTTGGCAGACCTTAGGCACCAAGCATCTTCAGTTTAATAAACTTTCTCAATTATTAATGAAAAATAGTGCTATTGTCAGTCAATTTATATTAAGATGAGATTTCTATTTTTCATCCTCTTAGGCAGTTTTGTTTCTCACTTTGCTTCAATATAGGTTTCATTGACTTGTGGTTTCCCAATATAAGAACTAATTTTTATTCGTTTATCCATTCATCTGTAGTTTGGAGTTTTGTCTGTGCTTATCCGGCAAACAAATATTATATGGGTTCTTTTTGTTGCTTGCGTGGGGGTTCTGGAATTTACAAAGATTCATCAAATCGATAATGTGAGAGTAGATGATTCCAGAGTGTCAGAAAGGAAAGGTGTTCAATCAGCGCTCAGTAAAGGTGTATCTAGCGTCTCTAACCTAAGAAAGAGAAGATTCAGTACTAATGTATCCAGTCCTAAAAATTTTACTTCGCGAATAACCGTCAGTTCCACACCGTATACGTCAGGTTTTATCTCATTTCTTATGTTTTTTGATATATATGTAGTAGTCACCATTATTGCATGCAGTGGACGCTTACGAAAAAAGGCTTATATCTCCGATACATTGGTCTTTTCTACAGTTAGTAGTCATTAATATGTTTATTGTTGTATGAAAATCTAAATATAACTGTAACAGATTCACAGCGGTCTATAATTTGGAATTTGTGTTTTTCTTTTTAATAAAAAAAGGGAGTATTATATTCTTAAAGCATGTATAACCAAAGTGTGATCTCTATACTAACTATGCACATCTTTGTGGCATTTCCATTTATTGAAGGGTTATTGGATGAGATTCAGGGCATCATCGTGAAATCATGGCATCTGAAATGGGAGCTGTTGGCTTCCTTTAGCCCCTTCTTTATGGTATTTGTGGCTTTTGTTGCTTTTGTTTGCTGGAACGGGAGCATAGTTCTGGGTACTTCCAATCAATCATTTTTACACTTCTTGTTGTTCTAAATACTTATTTTTTAATTTCCTCAATGTGGTGAATGATGAAAAAATGAAATAAATATTTCATTTTCCTGTAACCAAATTATGGATGTCAGCTCTACATTCTCTCTATTTTGCAGGTGCTAAAGATGCTCATGCAGTTTCTCCCCATTTTGCTCAATTGATGTATTATAGTCTAGTTTCTGCTGTTTTTACATTTCCTGTGCACTTCACATTAATACAAGCTGCAGTTCTACTCGGATCATTCCGTCAAAGCAGATTGTTAACTTTCTTCCAGTGGTTTACGGCATTAACTGCTGCCTTCCTTTCTGTGCATTTTTTCAGGTTAGTCATTCGATCAAATTAACATTTTACTCTGAAGCTATCTTTTGGTTTTAATGGTCCTAGATCATTTGTTAACTCCAAGATAAGAGTTTTTGTTCGGTTTCAGATCAGGTCAAAATTGTAATATATTTTAATCAATTTGTTCAACTTACAAACACTCTTTCCTACTGTGTTAATTTAAGCTCTTTTACTCCGTTAGAAATTTTATTTTCCTCTTGCTAAAACATGGTTTGTTGGCTCGTGCAGCATAGCGCACCCATATCTCATTGCTGACAATCGACACTATCCCTTCTATCTTTGGCGAAAAATCATCAGATATCATTGGTCAACAAAGTACCTTTTAGTCCCACTGTACACTTACTCGTGGTTTTCAATCTTCAGTAGCTTGGGTTAGTCCAAATTTCAAGTACATTTTTTTCTTATATTTCTGTATGAAGCTACTCTCCCGAACATATCACTGGTTTTTGCGCTTGCAGTGAAAAGTCAGCAGAAGATCTGGACTCTCGCATATTTTTTGGCTTCTGCTGCAACACTCATTCCTGCTCCTCTAATCGAGTTCAGATACTATACAATTCCGTTCTTTTTTTTCATTCTTCACTCCAATATTAACAAGAAGAGTTGGCTTCTCTTGGGTATTCTTTATCTTGCCATCAATTGTTTCACGATGTTTATGTTCTTGTTTCGGCCATTCTTTTGGGATCATGAGGCCGGGATACAGAGATTCATATGGTGAAAAGCTAGTCAAGAACTATTGAAAGCTTCACTGATATAGTTTCTCAAGCCTTCCAGTTTGGGACCGGAATTGTTGTGAATATCATGAAGAATCAAAGTTTTGACTTATTGTTTGGTTCTTCATGACAACTAGTTTTCATGGTAGAAAGGGTAAGTGACCATTTCATTTATACATGTACTTTTAGCTAAAGGCTGATGGCATATTCTCGGTGATGACTGCAGTTTGAAGGCAATGTGCTTTTACTAGACATGACTAGTTAAAGAAAATACGGGTTTTTTTCTAGGTGGAGCATGGACACTTCATTTTTTATTCCAGCACTTCCGCGCAATAATTCACCAAAGTTTAGTAATGTTCGACGAAGGCCAACAAAATCTACTTTTCCACTCTCTTGCAGGGTCGTAGGGCGGTATGTTCTTCATGTTGATCACTGATAAACCCATTTCATATGATCGGAATTGCCGACTGTATTTTGAATGTGTTCATGATGAAGTTGATTATTTTAAACTGTGATCAGTGTATTTAATTGTGAGCTTATTTCTATGGTTTATGCGTCCTAATATTATCCCCTGTTTAATTTGGATTAAAATTAAATTTTTAGTAGATTTTGATAAAAATTTGTAAAATGTTTCATTGAAAAGTTAATAAAAGTTGTGGGTCTCATAGAGTTGAAATTTTTTTTGGGAGAAATAGTGGCCAAACAGGATTTAAGACAGCAGAGAAATAGTATATATATAGTTTGATGTATGAAATTGAGTATTAAGACAACATAGAAATAGTTTGATGTTCGAGCAAATAACATCATAACAATTTGAATATGAGGTTCATCAATTAGGGTGAAATTGAGAAGAAAAAGTAAAATAGTTGGTGCATTGCACCCACAGGTGAGAAGGAATGTCTTATAGTACAAGACGATTCAATTGGTTGGCCACAGAAATGATGGATGTAATTAATTTAGGGTAAATAGGGTAAATAGCACAGANACCAAATCACGGGCACACCACCGCCTCGCCCAAATCCTGCCAGCAAAAACGGCCAAGACACGGGCACCATAGAAAAACACATAAAAACGGAGAGAAAAAACAAAGAAAACGGCCAAGTGACAGAGTCACACCGGCCAAAACAGACAAACACCACCAATCAACAACCCTTGCCAACGCTGGAAACCCAGCCAAAACGGCACGCCGGCAAAACCCCCAACAGCAGCAGCCCCCACGCCTACTCCCGCCACCGGAGATCGCAACGACCGAGCCCGCCGCTCACCACCGACCTAACCTCGATCGCCCCTCTCTCCTACCAAAGCAGACACGAAAACCGCCACCACTGCTCGTCCGACCACACCACCATCCCGCCCAACCAACGCCAGCAAAACGGGGGAAGCTCGGGAACCAACAAAGAAAGACAAAAGGAGAAAATGAAGGGGAAAAGCTGAAAAGAAGGGAAACAAAGGGGAAAGAAGGGGGAAATCGGAGCTCCCCCCCTCCCCCCCCAAAACGAACCCACGAGAAAGGCCAAGAAACCTTCACCAGCGAAAGGAAGAAACTCCACTGAGGGAGAGAGAAAACCCTCACCACGCAGGGGAGGGATTAGTTTGATGTATGAACTTGAGTATTAAGACAACATAGAAATAGTTTGATGTTCAAGCAAATAACATCATAACAATTTGAATATGAGGTTCATCAATTAGGGTGAAATTGAGAAGAAAAAGTAAAATAGTTGGTGCATTGCACCCACAGGTGAGAAGGAATGTCTTATAGTACAAGACGATTCAATTGGTTGGCCACAGAAATGATGGATGTAATTAATTTAGGGTAAATAGCACAGAACGTCCCTACTTTTCAATGTCATTATGCAAAACGTTCTTACCTTTCATTTTTTGACATTTTCACCCCTACCTTCCACCTTTCATTGTGCAAAATGTCTTTTTCAACCATTTTTTCAATAAAATGACGATTTTACCCTTCTATTCAAATGAAACAAAAAGAAAAGAAAAAATAAATAACTAATTGCAATTATAGTCCTAAGTTTTTCAAAATATTATAGGTAAGTCATAAATTCTCCACCGCCACTTTCACAACCCTACCAATCTGCCACCTATAGATTCACATAACACCACCTTCTAGTCACCACGTTCGCCAACTCCACTACAACTAGCCTCGTTTCACTTTCCCCAACATCCTCTCCCACAGTATTGGTCACAAAATCTGTCGAAAACAACCACATTTGCAGCCTAAAATACCAAACCGTCGTATACAACCCTTCACGACAACCCTACTTTCGGCGCCACCCACAGTCACGCACCACCACCGACGGTTACCCCTCACCTCGACGAACATATACATGGCCTCACATCAATCAAACATGCCTCAAATCATTCTACTATAATCTAGACATTTGACAGTGGCGACGTCCATTTTGTCAAACTCTTCTCCTTCAATTGATGCATCCCAGAACACTAAATCCCCAAATTGGCATCAATTGAACCATCAACAAACTCAAACGACAATGGGTATGAATCTAATTGAACCAATTATCCCCCCAACCGTTTCAATTTCTGTTCCAAAACTCTCCATGGGCGCAATGTACGGAGAGAGCTGTCTGACCAAAATTGGTGGGTCTAAGTGCTCCAATCTTCAAATTCGTGTGAGGGAAGATGGTGGTGGAGTGAAGTGAGGTTGGTGGCGGTGGAGTCCGGTGGGCGTGGTGGCCGAAAGGTGGTGCTATGTGGATCTTTAGGTGGCAGCTTGGTAGGTTGTGAAAATGGTGGTGATAGAGAATTTATGATTTCTTTGTAATTTTTTAAAAACTTAAGGACTATAGTTGCATTGGTTATTCATCTTTTTATTTTTGTTTTATTTGAATAAGAGGGTAAAATCGTCTTTTATTAAAAAAATGGTTGAAAATGACATTTGCGCAATGAAATGTGGAAGGTATGAGTGAAAATGCCAAAAAATGAAAGGTATAGACGTTTTGCACAATGACATTGAAATGTTTGGATGTTCTGTACTATTTATCCATTAATTTATACCCCACTACTTAATTTTCAACGATAACATTAATGTCATTTCTCAATTCTTTAATATGTGCGTGCACAAGAGGTCACTTTAGATGGTCCAAATGAAAGATTGTAGGTCTCTACTCTAGTATTGACTCATAAAATATTTCATATCCGAGCTCTATCAAAAATAAAAATAAATAAAATAAATATTAATTATATTTGAGATATTTTCTCAATAGATGTCCCTTTTTTATTTTCAACCACCGTTGAAAGTAGGGCTGGACATAGTCCGATTCGGTTCAATTCTCTCTTCAGAATCGAACCAAAATTTTCGAATATTTAATAAATGGAATCGGCGGGTCCAAATATAATTATGGAACCATTTGGGTTCGGTTCCGTACCATAATTAATTTTTTTAACATTTACAGTGACACTACATAAATATAACTAATGACATGTTCATTTGTAGTTTCGATGAGCATTTGGAAAGGAGAAGTTGGACTTGGCAGTCGGCGGCTTCGATTAGGACATGTAGATGTAGGTTTTCAATTTATCAAATGATTTGGGATTAGTGGACCTGTACTTACCGAATGAAAATATGAAATTGGAAATAGAAGGATAAAAAATTTAAAAGGTCTAGATCTTGAGCTAACAATGAAATTAATAATTGGGTCAAAAAATTAAAACAGAAAATTAAATTTAGAAATTGTGCTGGGGTGGGCTAGGCATGGAGTTGGAACATTAATCACTAAATTAGTTAATTTTCTAATTTGTTTAGAAAAAATTAAAATAATTTAATTAATTCAATATAAAAAATTAAAAAATATATATATTTAGATTCAGTTCTTATTCGATTCTTAGTCTAAAGCTGAGAACCGAATCAAACATATCGGTTCTCGATTTAAATACTCGTTCGAATATTTAACTTATGAAGAACCGCTCAGTTCGGTCCAGTTCGATTCAGCTCGGGAGTTTTGTCCAGCCCTAGTTGAAAGTTGTATTTAGAGCACGCTTGTTGAGTATGAAGTCACTTTTTGTTAACTTTTTTTTTTTTTTTGCCAAATACGTGAAAGGACATATAGAAGATAAAAATTTAAATAAATATATCAAACTTATAGATAAAGTAGGTAACAATATTGGTTAAATATTAGAACAATCCGTCAAAAAGATGATGGTGGTGGTGATTGTGACGAGCGGTGGTAGTGTCCGGTTGGCGTTTGCAAGAAAGGTGATGGAAAAGTAAAGGATTTAAAATTGGGGAAAATGTGATAAATTCAATTAAAATTTTGATTAAAATGGTCAGTTATCATCATCAAGGATGAAAATATTTTTTATCTTTAGGAAAAGGAGGTACATGATGTAATTTTCCACTATAAATGTCAACCAATTGGACCTAACAGCGATAGTCCCTATCGCTCACAAGTCAATGGCACAGTTACCTTTGGTACAATTATTTGAGGATACAAATGCACAATCCAATAGAATCACTGAAAAAGAATCAAAATTTCAATATTTGTCACTTGTTTGTTTAGAAAAGTTGACTTGTAACAAATGCAATAATGATATTCATATTCGGGGACTGCAGTAGTCATCCTACGTGATATATTACGTACCATGATTTTAATAATTTTTTTAAAAAAAATTAATAATGATTTCCCACGTAAGATGTCGCATATGATTACTAGTGTAATCGCTGATTATGAATAACACTACTTTATATGCGGCATTCTAAATTTATTAGGGACCAATTGGAATTCGGTACCAAAACCATTAGAGGGTTGCCTTGATCCGAATCGTTTGATACAATTTGAAACGGGACATATCATAAGTCATTTTATTTGGAGAGTCAAGTTGTAATGAACCAGCTTCACAAAAAGGTAAAGTTTTTTCATGAATTCACTCGAAAATAAGTCACGTATTCATTTTCTATCAATATCATAGAAAATGCAATTCATATCTTAAGCCAAAAATTAATCAAGTTTTCTCTCCATGAACATCAAATAAACATACCAGATTTTATTACAAAATACCTATAAAAAAAACATGAAAACTGAGAACCAGTTATAACGAAAGGTTGAATTTTTGAACTATTTATATTATTGGAGACTGGTAGTGCAATTCATAATGTAAGTTTTAAAGACAAATTCATTATCGTTTTTTAAGATTGTAGACCGGGATCAACTTGCTAGTCAACAAATAATTTCATGACCTAATATGCAATTTTTCCAAATTGAAATGTCACTTTATTTTGGAAGAATGTATTTTGGAATAGTAAATTGATGGAGAATGTGTGGTTGAAAAAGAAGGAAAAGTTATTGATGTGATAAAAAATATTACTTTATTGAAAAATATGTGATTGAAAATGAGTAGAAAAATGAAAATGAAAATTTTAATGTGGCTCAAATAGGGGCTTACGTTTATGCTCTTGTTTGACACACACTCTTTCAAAATATATTCTCTCAAAGCTTATGTTCAACCACACATTTTTCAATAAAATAATATTTTTTATTACATCAATAATTTTTCCTTACTTTTTAACCACATATTTCTCATCATATCACTATTTAAGATACATTATGGGTAATTAGCGCAAAACGTCTCTACCTTTGACGGTTTTTGTGAAAAACGTCCATACCTTTGATTTTTTGGCGCATAACGTCCATACTTTTCACATTCTTTGCGCTGATCATCATTTTCACCAATTTTTAACATCAAATGACCAATATACCCTTCTATTTAAATAAAACAAAAGAAAAGAAAAGAAAAATAAAGAATGAATTGTAACTATATGCCCAAACTTTTTAAAAAGTGCAAATAACCCACCAAACTTCACATTCTTTAAAAAATTATAAATTTACCCTAAACATTGCATAAGGGTCCCCACAATTTAATAAATTGCAGGGGAAGCCCCCGTCCCCAAATTTGACCAGCCTGCGAAGAAACCTGCAGGTTATGGAGCTGGTTGTTTCTACTCCAAATTCGACCACCATACCGCCGGACAAACCACACCACCAACATCTCCTCATCCCACTCTATAATCTCATATTAAAAATCGGCCATAACATATCCATAATCAGATGAAATCCCATACTACAATCCCCTCGGTTCACTAATTGGTTGATTCGGGACAAATTCATGAAGACCCATATGTATATTTTGTTCGCTATGATGGGTAGAAGGTAATGATGGTGGTGCGCGACTGTGAATCTCAACGCCGGCGCCGGAATTTGGGGTGTAAATTGTGTGGTTCGTTGCCTTCAAATTGGGATGAGATCGAATCTGAATTAAACTATTTGTTGGTGATATGGGACCATGAAACTGCTCACCTTAAGTATTATTAGAAGCCTGTAATGGAGTTTGGTCATGGGTGTTGAAGTGTTGGCCAGAATTGATGTTTAAACAGTGCGTGAGGACGTGTTTTTGAGCCTGAATTTCATCTGATTATGAATCTTTTATGGCCGATTTTTAGTATGGGATTGTAGAGTGGGATGCGGAGATGTTGGTGGTGTGGAAATCCGGTGGTTTGTCCGGCGGTATGGTGGTCGAATTTCGAGTAGAAGTAGCCGGCTCCATAAGCTGCCAGGTTTCTTCGCCGGCCGATCAAATTTGGGGACGGGGAGCTTTCCCTACAATTTATTAAATTGTGGGGACCCTCGTGCAATTATGGGTTTAGGGTAAAGTTATAATTTTTTAAAGAATGTGGAGTTTTGTAAGTTATTTGCACTTTTTAAAAAGCTTGTGCTTATAGTTACAATTCATTCTTTATTTTTCTTTCTTTCCTTTTGTTTTATTTAAATAGAATGATATATTGGTCATTTTATGTTAAAAATTAGTAAAAATGATATTCAGCGCAAAGAATGTAAAAGTTAGAGACGTTATGCGCCAAAAAATCAAAGGTATGGACGTTTTGCGCCAATTACCCTTTTCAAAATTAAAATGAGACTCTTTATAAATGTCCAACGAACTCTCAAATTAATTATTTATTTTACTTGTTTCAGTAAGTGTTTACGATTAAGCTCACATTTGGTGCACATTTTGGGGACAATAATACATTTTTTTGTTGATGTCATGAGAAATATGTGGTTGAAAAAGAAAAAGTTATTGATATGATGAAAAATATTATTTTATTAAATAATATATGGTTGAAAATGAGTAGAAAAATGAGAATAAAAAAAATAATGTAGCTCAAACAAGGACTAAAGTTATTTCCTCATTTTCGCTATGTTCCCCTTAAAAAAAAATGTAAAACAATGTATGACATCATTGAAATTTTTATATAGAGAGTGGAATCGAATTAAGAAGTTTTATGGCATATTATAAATAATTTAAAGTTCAGGGACATAATTGAAACATTTGTTAAAATTTAGGGACAGATAAGTTATTTAACATAGTGACGTGCCTAATTTGGACACCGTGCCACGGAAAACGACAGATGTGTGGAAAAAAGGGAGCAACAGTATCCTGGACCGACTTACGAGGTTTATAAGATCATGCCATGTGTACGGTCGATATCCACCAATAATCTCCACTGCTCTATAAATTTGGCTACTGGTTCACCTGTGAATGTCGCTCTACACACGTTATTCGCTTCTCGTCTGCTTTGGAAAATACCTTGGAAGTTCACTGAGCTTGCTTTTTACGGGAAGAAAATGTCTTGCTGCAATGGAAACTGTGGCTGTGGCTCTAGCTGCAAGTGCGGCAGTGGCTGCAACGGGTAAGCCCTTTCTTATTTCCTTTTGCTGTTTGTGAAATTATATACCAACTCTTGAAATTGAATACAGTCCCTCACAATTTGAATATGACTTCTAAAATTTTTTTAATTGAATGGACATTAAAATACCCTTAAATTTCCCCATAGGCCTGTGCTCGAATATGGCCAGCCAGCCTGAAGAGCGTACGGGCTGGTCTAGAAAATATTTGAGTTAGGCTAGGGTCCTAGCTGGTCTAGAAACAAGCCGCAGGCTTTTTGGTCCGGCCCACAAACCTGCGGCCCAATTGTAAACATTAGCTAATCCAAAAATACGGTCCTAATTTCGCCACTGAGGATTGTTTAACAAGTCCCTAGGATAACAAGTATTCGTGCATGTTCATGCCATGATCGGATTTATATGTATTAACTGCAGATGCGGTATGTACCCTGACTTGAGTTACTCCGAGGCGACAACCACTGAAACCCTTGTTCTTGGAGTTGCCCCCAAGAAGAAGTATGCATTAATTCTTCACGTTTTAATCTTTATTTATTCTCAATTATTTCAAAAAATTGTAAAGTTAACAATTGGTTTTTCATTTGATGCAGATATTTCGAGGGTTCTGAGTCTGAAATGGGTGTCGTCGCTGCAGAGAACGGATGCAAGTGCGGTGCTAATTGCACTTGCAATCCGTGCAACTGCAAATGAGTGACAGCGGGACTTGAAGCAGAGAAGAAGAAAATGATTTTCCAGTAATAGTTTGTGGCCTTGTTTATAAAGCAAAATATTGTCAAGCTACCGTATCGTGTGTAATAATAAAAGTCACCATAGGGGATGGTATCATATATGTGGTTACTTTGTGTTTGTGGAAATTAAGGTAGTGTATTATGGATGCTAATCTCTTCTGGTGAAGAGTCTTAACTAATGAAAGTTGTAAGAGTTGGGTTTGTTCAGTTAATGGAAACTCATTTCTTCTATTTCATGTTTTCAATTTATACTTGGTTTTTCGATTATTAACTTTAGAAAATCCTATGCAATAGTTCCAATTATCTAAACCCTATTATAGGATATTGTAATTTGCATCTCAAAGTCATGGTACATCCAAACTTGTACACAGCACATAGGATAAGTTTAATACGAAATATTAGTAGACTCGATTTAACTGGAGACGCTAGACCTATTTGAATTTTTATTTTCTACATACTCATTTTAATCACACAATCAAATATTTTCCCCATAAATTTAAATATTTTCCTACTTTTTAATCACATATTTTTTTAAGGATCTTTATTGAAATTATTATTTTTTTAAATAATGGTTGTCAAACAAGGGCTTAAATGGGAGTTGATGTCATAAGGTTATTGGTGACGAAAATCTCAATGAACAACAATGGTTATTATCATTGTTTTGAAGATGGCATAATTTAGGGCAAACCCTTAAGCTCTAGAGTAAACCGTTAAATGCGCATCAACGGTAAGAATAATGCTTCATATACAGAAGCTTTATTCACAAGGGTTGTACAGGCCCCTCACAAAGGGCGAGCCATACTTTTTTTTTTTTAAATATATGTGTGGCCCCCCTTTGTGAGTGGCCCCTGTGAATAATGTTTATGTACATGAAGCATTATTCCAAGTGTAAACTCTTAAAGTGGATTTGTCTTTTTAGATGTTTAAAGATATAGTTTTTGGTTTCTATATCTCAAAGAAAGTTCATTTGTTTTGGGATTTCATACCAAATTCCAACAACAAAACGATACAAAATAAACACACAAATTAAATCCAACATTTAGGAACCTATTGTTCAGTGTTACATGCAATAGCACCCAAGTTAAAAGACATAACTTTTCACACAGATCCTGCTTGTGTTGGTGTCATTGACTTGTGCAATGGAAAGTCCTTCATACCAGTTAAGATCCAAAAGGATTTCTGTTCACAAGTCCTTGGAGAAGCAGCTTGACTTTACGTTAAAAGTGGATCAGGAGCGCTGTGAAGAGAAGGCCAAATCTGGGGATTTGTCAATCAAAGGAATCCGTCCTGTTACGAAGTTTGTCGACACAAGGCAAAGACGGGTGCGACTTAGAATGTTAATTAATGCAAGTCTCTTCCTGAGTTACAGCATAACTTACTGATTGTTTACTGGTTCTTATGCACCTCAAGCTTCAAGCCAGGTAAGTAGCTTGAGATCATAGCTAGTTTGTACATAGATCAACAGGTGGTTTACTCCTGCTTGTTCCAGAGTAGCTATGTCTCTAATCATTGCCTATGAAGTTCAGACTCTAATTTTTTTTATTTCTTGGTAACCTATTTCTATTCCAAGGCATTTTAATGTAGTAGCTTATTAGGCCTTTATTGTCATTATCCTTCACTTTCTAGTTTTTGCATTAATGTTGCTTCTGCAACTGCTGCGACTGATATATTACTGGAATGATGTCAATAGGACTTCACTCCTCCCCGACCCACCCAAAAGAAAAAGATTTACAGATATCCCGTTTGTCTTAAATTGTGCTCGTATTCCTAAACATGTTTTTCCTATATTTTTTGGGTCATGAACTGCATGGTTCTTGTGCACTCTTGTTTTCCATGAACAGTTAATGAAGGTTGAAAATAGTGCTGAAGTTGGTTAAGATCTTAAGATGTGCTGCCAAAGCATACATATTAAGGTATGTCCTGAATTTCCTAATTTGGGATCATGGAGAAGCACAGGCCATCCTGACATTGTTTCAAGTTTAGAATAATGAGCATTCAACTTATCTTATTCTAGAAAGGATATTTCTAGGTGTACATAATTTAGCTTACATAAGGGTATTCACCCCCTCACATGAGGGTGGGACCCATGTGAATAAAAAATGTTTTCTTTAAGTGGATCTCACCCCTATGTGAGGGGGTGAATACCTTTATGTAACCCAAATTATGTACAACCAGCAATACCACTGAAATGTGGTTATATTAGAGGTATAGTTCTCCTTAAAATAAGGTCAACTCGTTCAATTAGCATTTTGCCTCCTGTATTGTTGTTTTCGTGTTGCAACCATTTTCACCACCTTTGATAGGGTAACTGTAAATTTAGTTAATTAGTAATGTTTGGCTAGATGTTATTTCTTTGAGTTGTGTGATGCCATGTTGACTTAGTTGTCAACATTTGCATTCACTTCTTGCAATTTTTTTTTTTGGTCAATAACTACTTATTCGAGATCATCGTGAATTACATGAAATATATGGATAAAGAGTAGACGTACTACGTTTTTTTCAACTTGAATAAAATAAATAATTATCATAATTCAGAACCCGCCCTCTTGAAAATTTTCCAGGAAAAAATGAGAAAACTTGAAGATTGCTTAGATTGGAGATACATTCATAGCACAACAGGTTTAACTAATGAATCAGTATAATAATAATAAAATTAGCAATTAGGAATCACCACTACAATTTTCCTAAACCCTTGCCCAAGAAGGTTTGTCCAAACTGCCAATCAGCTGGTGCCACGTTCCTTGAGGTTGACGTGCGTCCGTCACTGCCTGTGACTCTAAATGACAAAGCCTGGCCCACAAGAACTGAACTGGTTTGCCAGTTTTGCCCCCAGTTGCGGCTCATGGANTGACATTGTTTCATGTTTTGAATAATGAGCATTCTACTTATCTTATTCTTGAAAGGATATTTCTAGGTGTACATAATTTAGATTACATAAGGGTATTCACCCCCTCACATGAGGGTGGGACCCATGTGAATAAAAAATGTTTTCTTTAAGTGGATCTCACCCCTATGTGAGGGGGTGAATACCTTTATGTAACCCAAATTATGTACAACCAGCAATACCACTGAAATGTGGTTATATTAGAGGTATAGTTCTCCTTAAAATAAGGTCAACTCGTTCAATTAGCATTTTGCCTCCTGTATTGTTGTTTTCGTGTTGCAACCATTTTCACCACCTTTGATAGGGTAACTGTAAATTTAGTTAATTAGTAATGTTTGGCTAGATGTTATTTCTTTGAGTTGTGTGATGCCATGTTGACTTAGTTGTCAACATTTGCATTCACTTCTTGCAATTTTTTTTTTTGGTCAATAACTACTTATTCGAGATCATCGTGAATTACATGAAATATATGGATAAAGAGTAGACGTACTACGTTTTTTTCAACTTGAATAAAATAAATAATTATCATAATTCAGAACCCGCCCTCTTGAAAATTTTCCAGGAAAAAATGAGAAAACTTGAAGATTGCTTAGATTGGAGATACATTCATAGCACAACAGGTTTAACTAATGAATCAGTATAATAATAATAAAATTAGCAATTAGGAATCACCACTACAATTTTCCTAAACCCTTGCCCAAGAAGGTTTGTCCAAACTGCCAATCAGCTGGTGCCACGTTCCTTGAGGTTGACGTGCGTCCGTCACTGCCTGTGACTCTAAATGACAAAGCCTGGCCCACAAGAACTGAACCGGTTTGCCAGTTTTGCCCCCAGTTGCGGCTCATGGACATCCATTGGGTTTTTGTACCTCTGATGCTCACCCGCACTATATTCCCTGCACCCGCGACGTTGGTAATCAGAACCAGGTTGAAGTAACTATTCCCGTTTATTGTGAATCTTATTCCCCCTTGTTTTTTGCATGGTACCCTGTGGAAAAAATATATATTAATTAATTAGTTTAAACATTACGACTAGTTTGTTTGGTTTAAATTATAGATAAATAAAAATAAGTAATATCTAAGCGAACAAATTAGTTCGTTAGACATGATTTTTGCTTCATCTAGAAGAGATTTCTCCAGTGAACAAATAATCTGTTTGGCATGACTTTTACTTCTATTTCATCTAGAAAAGATTTTTGAGGTAACTACATTAATTTTTGTTCGAAAATTAATTTTTCAAAATGTTTCCTACTCCGAAAATGTTTTTAGATGAAGCAACATTGGATCATTTTAACTAGAAGAATCATTTCCACGAAATTAACCGAACGTGTTCAAAAATAGATCTTGAATCTCAAAATTTTCTTTTTGACTTTTCAGAAGTCATGTCAATCTAGGCTCCATCAATTTTTATTAAAATCTAAAAAAAATTAATTTTTAGAAAAACCAAACAGTGGCTAAATGTTTTGTGAAATGTGTGGTTGAACAGTATATTGACAAAAAAATGTATAATTTAAATACCTTCCAAAAAACCCAGGATAACTAGTAATTCAGGTGACATCAACCATTAATAATTTTAACCTCTTTTCTTCATCCCTTAGCACGTAAATTAGCAATATGGAGCTTATTTGGGATAATTTTTTTGAAAATTATTTTCATCAATAGATAAAACTCATAATTTTTTTTCTCGCTTTTAAGTCCCAATTATTTTTTTTTTAAATTATATTTTACTTCATAAAATCTCTCCCAAATGAACCTTAATCGTAGACCCTGTTTGACACTATTATTTAGGAAAAACAATATTTTGAATAATGATTTTTAAGAGAATTTGTGATTAAAATGTAGGGAAAAAATTTTGAATTTACGTGCAAAATATTTTATTTTGTAAATATGTGGTTGAAAATGAAAATATAGTAAAAAAGTTTTCAAATAATGATGATCAAATACGCGCTTATTATTATTCTTAGTAGTTATTTGGCCACGGGACACTAACGAAGTACGATCCAATGATTTGGCAAAAACAGTTAAAAAGGCATTTGTGAACAAGTCACAATTACCCTGAAGAAGTAACCCTTGTTACCATATAAATCTAATAAAAGAGCAAAAATGGAAATGAAAAGAGTCGCTGGAGTTCTTACCGGCGAAAGTTGACAGGCACGATGCCGGCTCTGTACTCGGCGATATGGAGAAACATGGGCATGGAGAGATCGAAGTGGGGCCTAGGGGGGTTGCACCATCCGCCGTCGTCACTGGGCAATGCGTAATTTGGTGGGCAGAAATTGGTGGCGGTAACAAAAATTGAAGGACTCCCGAGTTTACACCACTTGGGGTCCTCCGGCGCATCGCATTTTATTTCAAAGCAGGATCCGCAACTGAAGCCGTCGTTGAATAGAGCCGTGCTTAGTGCTGCCGTGTTCAAGCCGTAGCCTTGGCTGTACAAATTCCCATAACCACAAGCACCACCTGCAAATTAAACACCAAACCTCGTATCAGCCAAAGCACGTATAAAACACGAGATTTTCAGTATGAATGAATACCCATTGTGCCGGAAGCGTCTTGGCCGCCGTAGAAGGTGGCGTGGGCTGTCTTCCATGTGCCGCCGGTGTAAATGCCGGAGATTCTAGAGTGAGCAGCTGATAGAAAACAGATGAGGCTAACAATGCAGAGCAACGACTTCATTATATCTCTATAGCTAGCAAGTGAAAGTAGAGCGTAAAAATGCTGATGAAAGTGTGTTTTAGAGAGAGAGAAGGGATATATGTAATGCATATAGAGAGATAAAGAGAGTTCAGGGGGGCAGATGGAAGGGTAGAGGAAGGTTGACCGGTAATTATGGTGGATGGCCACTGATGAGTATTGGCTTGGAGAAGGAGGGGGTGGGGGTTGTGGCGGGGTGTAATTATATTTCGTAATTAATGCTTAATTATTAATTATCTATTTTATTTTTTTGGTTTTAAGAGAGAAATATCAAATAAGGAATGAGCTAGACCAAATAATAAACTTGTTCGTTTCTTTATAATATATTCTATTTTATTATTGTAATGCTCATGACAATTCAATGTGCTACAGATGAATCAGTTGTTTCATTTTTGTTTGGTGATTAACATTAGCAAAATTGGTAGACGGATATGTCCAGTTCCAGATTCACGAATTCAAAATTATAGCTTGGTATTTACAACGATGTTACATAATAATTGGACTAGTAAGATAAAGAAAAGGTACTGAATCTCGGCATACTTCAGATATTTTCAGGCATTTGGTACAAATGCAATGGTGACTAGCTAAATTCTTATTATCGACTAGCATTAGGTTTCAACATGAAGGGTTCTCGATTATTCATTCTATCGTCAGACGTCAATTAATTTTAAGACAACATATCAAAAATTTTAATCATCGAGAATCTCAATCAATTGTAAGAGATATTATTAGTGATTATCTTGCATCAAAAAATTATAAACGCATGAAGTATAAAGAGTTATCTACATATTACGGGTGACCCATAAATACTTGTTCAAGTCTTCGCTAAGGTGGCCTACAACTGGTAGATGTTAGAAGTTACACTAAATAGTCATTACATATATAAAAAAAAAAAAAAAAAATTATTCCGAATACCATACACGTACAGTTTTGTCGAGTTTCAGGAAGAGACTTGTCCATCCTCATTGTAGGGTGACAATGAAGTCGTTGAAAATCAATAAAGTATTTTTTTTTTTTTTTATGTTTTTAGTTGGTGAAAAACATTATTTTTTTCATGTTTTGTAAAAAAATAATGTTTAATTTTTTTATTTTTTTTTGGGGTGTGATAAAAAGCTTTTATTTTGAAATGAACTTTAAACGGTCTGATAACGCAATGGAGACCATGTTCCCCACACCCGTCCCGCCCCCGTCTCAAGGCAATGATCCCATCCATGTCCCGTGTGCCTGATTATGCAGGGAAGCCCTTTCCAATTCGGGGTGAGGCCACATGGATATTGGATATGACGAGTCCCACACCTCTTATCGGGTATAACGAGTTCTACACCTCAGGTAAGTTGCCAAAAAGGATCTAGTTATTTATGAAAAATATATTCAACACTGTAAAAATTGCTACCACCTCAAGTTAATTGTTCCAAAAATAACTGAACTTTGGGATGCGTCACGATACCTCATTGAATTACGAAAGTTGCTCAAATATAAATGAACTTTGTCAAAATGCTCTCCATCCACCACTCATTAAAATTTCATAAGTTGGGTTGGAAGGAACTATGTAGCAAACAGAATTCACACGTGGCACAAAATTGCCGTCCAATTCTCCCAATTAGTAATGGTTTAAAAACAATTTGACAAAGTTCAATGACATCTCAACAACATTTTTAAAGTTCAGAGATCTTCTGTGACTCAACCCAAAGTTTACCAATTTTCAGAACAATTAAACACCGAAGAAATATTGAAGAAACAAAAACAAAGTGAAGAAAGAATAAATGCTTCTTCATCGACAATCAGCTCATGTCTGGCGACATCACAGGAGAACATTATTTTCGGTAATCATAAAGCCACATATTACCGCATTCAACTTTATATTATATTGAACGAACAGGGGAAGTGATACAGAGGGACAGAAGATTAGACTTCAAATACAGCTATAATCAAGAGAATACACAATCTTACAATCAATTTTTTCGCCTAGAGAGCTCTATCTACAGGCAGTGAAGAGAAAAATACCTTTATGTATATTTCTCATCCGACAGATCAACAAATCAAATGCAAGGTTGTTGGCGCTTGCTGACTTCCTCGCGCAATTGAACTAAAACCCTGCAGCAGATCAGTTTAGTGCCCTCCAAAATGGGTCACAACGCAGATAATCAAATTGAAGCCTGCCCAAGAGATATCAGGGATTGAACTGTCTGTTCATGCAGAAATCAACTTACACCAATATAATTCTTGTCCATTAGCGCGTCTAAAGTAGTATCAGAATAAGAGATACTTGAGTCTTCAGTGGTTATACCTATTTGCCGCGAAAATAATAGCCTTGAGCCGAATCACTTGAGATGGCATTCAAAGCCAATGCCCATGTCATTTTCCAAAAAAATTTGTAACTGACTTCAAGATTTGGCTTTAACCAAACAGCTTGGTCTCGGCATGAAGTCTCGGCCACAGGCTTCACTGGGATGAAGTCCTTATATTCCTTGAACCTCCTTCAGAGTGAGAATATCATCGCGTGGAAGTGCTTCTTCCACTCGAACTTTTACTTCATCACCAACCTGTACTCCGACAGATACCCAAACAGAAGCTTGTAATCCAACCTGTAAAGAGTAAACAAACGTTAGTTTAATTTTATTAACACAAAGTAGTAATTCTATAGGAAATCTCAATTGTCTGTTTAATTCTGGAATAAATGGCCAGGGAGGGGTAAATTTCATTAAGCAATTTCTTGCTGCTTGTAATTTCAAGCAATTGTCGTATGATTACCTCCGTCAAGAGTATTGCTACAACTCTATCTTTGATGAATCTGAGGACCAAAGCAGAAAACCTTTTCTCCTTCGGTTGCCTTCTTAAGTATTCTATTATCCAATATCGAAGATTGCTGTTGCAGATCTTTCTTACTACCCGAGCATTCATGTTTATCATAGATGCCATCCCTTCCAGCTGACCCGCTGAGAAAGGAGGAGAATCTCCCCTAACAAAAGCTTTCACCTACTTATGGGAAACAAATTAGCTTGCCAGACTCTTTTCCAATGCTACGACATGACATGATTTCTGGTGGATATATGGATGGCAGATGAAAGCAATACTATGCAAGTGAACATGATTGAAATTAAACAAACTAGTCGGAGGTGTTTGATGCAAAGGCACTTTGAAGGATAAAAAATGAGCTAGATATGATTCTTCCCAAGTACAATTGCAAGGAGAAAACATACCAAGCACTGAAAGCATGTCATGCACCAAATTGTCAAACATCATAGAAGGTTAGATCATAATTACTATGATACATCCAGAATTATTTGCGTTTGTAATCCATGAAAAACTACCTGATAGTGTGCAAGGAGATCCATATATCTTCGGATGGGAGATGTGAACTGCACATAACCAGGAAGTCCTAAAACCCCATGGCGTATAGGCTTCCTGAAATCCATTTCAGCTGCACGCATGATTTTAACTACAGCAGAACTCCTTACAGGGCCTTCAGGCAGATGAGAAAATGCAGATATATCAATATTTGATTGAGGTTGGCCCCGGTAAGGTAAAGGTATGTTATTACAAGAACCAAGAGTGGCTATAACTTCGCCACAAAGTATCATCATTTCAGTTACAAGCCGCATTGCAGGATCTGCCTGATTCTCCACATAAAGCTTGATCAAGGGCTCCGGATCATCTGGATTAGTCACCTTGATTCTTGCTTCTATCGTGGATGTGTCTATTGCACCCTACACAAGGCATTTAGGCTTATACGCACACACTGAATGGGAAAATAATGTTGTGTGACAATAGACATTCAGGAAGAAGTTACTTGTGGGAGAGAAGTTAGACCATTAATGATAATGTAGGATACCAATAATTACTATAATACAGTAACCTTGAATCTGATGAAAAATCGCTAGCATTGTTGTTGAACAGATTGAAGAAGCAACATGCACAAATACACAAGCCCAGATATCAAATTTTCCATTGACCATATTCATGCTTGATGCATTTGTTGATAAAAAATGTATGGGTTGTACCATGTACAAGCATAATTGCAAACAACAGAAACAGACTGTGTGTCAAGTGACAGATAAACTATCCATAAGAGAAGGTACAGGAGATAGGTAGACAAGTTTGATTCACTATTATTACAAACTACATGCAAGATAAGGGGTACAAAACCAGCTTGGTGAAACTACAGACATTAAACTACAATGTTATGTTTTTCCACTATCGGAAAAATTTATCTGACCTGTCCCCGACGCCACCGTAACCGGAGCATAGCAGCCTCAGAAAGAAGTCTGAGTTCAACTTCCTCTTCTAGGTTCAGATGGAGAAGTTCAGATGCGCTCTCGTATGTTAGCATATATGTTGGTTTGATAATTGAGTTTTCCACCGAGTATTCTGCAATGCTATAAAGAAATAGAAGCAGCAAATTCGTTATCAAGAATTCCATTGCAAGTTTTTATACATTCTATCATCAAATAGAAATGTACAAATACAATGAGATACACTTCATAATTTTTATTCTAGATCAAAATGATCAGAAATGAACAATTCTACATGTGGAATTCAGTGATATTCCACATCTATAAGAAATATTCCAAAAGAGGTCTTAGTTGCCCAGATGTTTTGTAAAACATGTCTACACATCATCATCTTCATAATGCAGTAGGATGGGTTGGTCTTTGAAACTACAAAGGCGATGCCATTTTTTGTTTTAACTTTCACACAATTAACTTTTCCTCAAATAAAATGTGGGGAACTTGGAAATAGTTACAATAGGAAAGGTTGAAATAGAGAAGGAGAAGCAGAAAAAAGTAAGTTCCTGATTTCATTCTAAATACAGTTTAAATTTCCTCAATGCTGAAAGACTTCTTTTCAACATACTCCTGATAGAACGTAAGAAATTAGCCCCATGATTAAAACATATTGCCCTTCAAAGATGGCAGGCTCTCTGTAAAATGATCCCCATATTAACATTGTCTAGGAAACTATTAACTACTCACCTGCCATCAGAGTGTAGCACAACAGAAACTGTAACGGCATTACATGGCTTTCCTTGCTTCAAACTCATGCCTTCCATGGCCAGTTTCTCAGGAAACATAGGGTAAGTAGCAGTTGGTAAAAATACAGAAGTTCCCCTCTTCATTGCCTCTCTGCAGATCAAGAACTATATTAGATTATGCCTCAGAAGATTGGTTTTGGAAATAAATTTTCCATGAGCATCATATTTACTTGTCTATCATGCTCCCAGGTTGAATTAAGCTAGTCGGATCTGCAACATGTATCCAAACCCTAATGCGGCCATCCTGTAGCCTTATTGCGCTCAATGCATCATCAAGCTGCATATACTTGTTCATCAGCAATTAGCAAATTGACAGTTCCTCAAATATTAGATACACATGGCAAATATGGTATCTCAAACCACATATGTTCTCTATGATAAAGTTTAAAAGCCTCTATTGATTACTACCTCATCAGCTTCATCAACATCAATTGCATACACCTTCAGGTGAGTCAAATCTATTCTGTCAACCTGAAAACAAAGAGAAGCATATGATCTGCAGAAATAAGTGTTGTATCACACACCATACTGATAAAAATGCAATATTACAACATCTAATTGTAAATTGCACAGAGAAAGGTTAATATACACAAACAGCGAACAAGAGAGAGAGAGAGAGAGAGAGAGAGAGGAAGAGGATGAAAAAAAATGCATCTAGAAGCAGCTCCATTCTGCAGTGAAAAGGAATGAAAATCAGGGTGTAGAGAAGATTGTGATTTGAACTTAATACAGTTTAGAAAATATGACAATCAATTTTTGAATTAACCGCAATAGATCTCAAAGTTTTACTCTTGAGCAGCAAACAGGCCATGGCTAAAAGTGCGAAAGATTAAAGAGGAAGCAGACCTTATCCAGGTCAGGAGACTCTAAAAGAACACTTTCAGCAGCTGCTAGAATCTCTTCCGGATAATCAGTACGAATATTCAACTTTAACAAATCAAGATTGACATGTACAGGGAAATAACCAATATCTATGAGGAGACCTACTGCAGCTGATGCTGTTTTAGCTAGTCCCATGGCCTTCAGAATCTGCCAGAATTAAGGAAGGCAACGTGAATTTCCCTTTCTTTCATCATTTTCTTTCTCTAATTAAATAATGCTGTCTTTTAGCATGGTAAAAATTGAATAACTTTCTGAAATAGTTTAAGGCTTGGTTTGGTACTGCTGTGCTTTTAAGAAAATTAATTTTTGCCGTACTGAAGAAAAATCAGCTCAGGAAACAACAGTCAATTGTTTGGTAAACTTTGTTTAGAATTGAGCATTTTAGTGTTTGGTAAACGAAAGTGATTTATTGCTGCATCGGTATATTGTTAATTATAATGACTTCTTTTGTATTATTATCATCAATAATAGTATTATAAACTTTAAATAAGACAATGTTTTCACTATAATTATTTTAAAATGAAAACATAATATCTATTAATAACTCTCAAATATATAAAATTACAAAATAGAAACATAGTGGATACAGTAGAAAAATACTTAAATAAATTTAAATTACCTTTAGCACATCATACTTAATTTTGTTCCTCAATTTATTTTTAGAATATCAATAAACTTTGGATAAAAAAAGGGATTATTTTAATCAATTAGAATTCAAATTAATATTCAATAATTGGAGAAAGTAAAAGCAAAATCTAAAAAGTTTACCATTTTACTGCTTCTCAAAATCTGTTGTCACATGGTACCGATTTTTCTAAAATCATTTTTAAAAATTTTACCAAACACCTAAAAAAGTTTTGATTGTTGGAGAATCAGAAGTTGGTCTCTAGAATCAATCAAATGGGGTCAAAAAAAAAAAGGGAATCTCCCTTTTGTAAAGGAAAACAATCATTTTTGTTCCAACTAGTTTCATCCAAATAACCTGACATTAAGGATAAGAATGTCAAAGTTACCATTGCAGCTGTTTTCTTTTGGTCATCATTCCTGCAATTGTCTATTGCATATGCTTCCAGAGACTCAATTCTATTCCAGATCTTCTCTTCAGTTCTCCATGAAGATTTTTTGGGTTTTGAATGCCGTGGCATTTCCCTGGCAGATTTCAGTAATTTCACAAACTCTTGAAGTTCTTTCTCAGCAGCTTCTTTGGCATGCTTTCGCCGTAGAAGTTCTTCAACCTAGAAATTGATATTCATTGAATCATAGCTAGTAGACAAGCCAACAAAGCAAAATAGCATCATGGTGGGGAGCATCGTAAAAAACCAATCAATAGTCCGCAAGTTAACCAGGAACAAGCACAACATATAATTTCCAATAGACAAAGTGAAACCAAAAATCTGTATTATTAGCGACCAAACATGTGTGGCCATATAAGACGTTGCAACAAACCTGAATAGCAGGTCGAGGCCCATAAACAGAAAATGAACCTTTACTCTCCAAAACAGTGAAGTATATGTCATCCTTTGAAAGCAGTAGATGAGCACAATAGCTCTCAAGAGGCTCAGCACTACCAAAAATCATCTGTTAGAATAAACTAATGTCATTAGAGGAACACAGAAATGCAAATTTAGTTATGCAAAAAGTTTACCTCAGCCAGCTCTTCCACTCTTACTGATTTGTTCTTTTCAAGAAGCTCAATCCAGGCAAACTCAAGCAATGTGGGATCCTGAACAAATAACAAAGCAAGAGGTTTACAATGTACATACAAAAAATAGAATCCAAAACAGCTGCATTTCAACTTCAAATGACAGGATTAACAGACCAAATTACTCTGAGCTCTCTGAACAAAGTCTAACATCTCTGTGTGGTCAAAGTTTTCAACACCAGGAACAATGAAAGTAATTTGTTGCGGCTTAATGGAGGTCATGGCACCATTCTGCATAAGTGAACCAAAGGAACAATTTGAGAGACCCGAAGCTTAAAGTTCTTGAGAAGTGTAGAAAAAGACAAGAATCCAACACCTAGCAACCTATCCAATATGCCGCATTAGTTGTTTCTAACAAAACCTGATCAGAAACCATCCAATTCTTCTTGCCATCAGGCTTCTGTGCAACTGCCAGCAATACCCTCTCCGGATCTTTCTTGAACTCTAGCAAAAATCCTTTCTGCAGCACCCGTTTCCCTAACTTATTTTCAAGAATAGCTTCACTGCTTTTCAGTTCCAACCTGCAAAATAATTCAACAACCAACATCACAAATAGTATGATCCATAAAGATAACTACATTATTTAACTGAAGGACTTGACACTTTGTTTCCTTAGCTCTGTCACTTAACATAGTATTTTCTAGCTTAGAGAACTACATTGAGAGAAAATCTCACTTTAGGGATTGATCAAATGTGAGCTGGGAAGTAGTTATCATAACTTTAGCTTCTGAATAGTTAAAATGTATTAGAATCCCCAAAAAAACAACATGTCTAATCAGGAACCTTCATAAGCCAAGGACAAGATAAATCTGCAAAGTTTTTGAAAAATTTCACAAATTTTATCACTGTAAGTTGCACCAGCTCCAATTATACCAATGGATTAACATTACAATTTATCCAAAAATAATTCAGTTACTATTCACAAAAAAATCGATAGTAGATACATAAAAGCATACAACAGTCGGATTAGAGTCAAAGGAATGATATTACAAGACAGGCGACAACTGAAGAAAGTACGTCTACGAGCAAATATATGAAATACTTCATACTTGTTGGACGCGCGAACTCTGCCGCGCTTGCGCAACGATTCAAGTTCTTCCACGACCATATCCACAAGGCTCTGCACCGAATAATTTCGAATTGCAACAATTCTATCTCCAACACTAATAACTTGATTATAATTCCGCTGGAAAATTGATAACCGAAACCCTAGTTTGGTGGATTGGCGACCACGGTGAAAGTGAACACCCTTGTACTGGTGGACGCAGCATCTTACGGCGGCGATAGGTGGCGACGCCGCGCAGCAGCGCAAGATTGCGCTACCATTCATAGCGCGAACCGCCATTTACTCTAGGTTTGGAAATTCGAAAAGTTCATGTAGTGATAAATAGAGAGAGACTGAGAGATATTTTGCTCACAAAATGGAACGGTAGAAAGTCCGGGACTCGGATAAAGTAGCAATGCAAGAGATATTGCCTGCCGAATTACAGAAACACCCTTTTTCCTCTTTCAAAAACCGTCAATTCGGCATGATTTATGCTTCTTGTACCGGGGGGGTTGTACACCCCCCCCCGGTACGAATAGCCCAGTTCATTGGGCATACCTGGCCTAAATGCCTGATATGTGGAGATTTCATAACTAAGTGGTTTAATTTTATTAATTTCAAATTTAGAAGATTAAATTTTAAATTTTAAATGTCAGAGTTTTTTAATTTTATTTATAAATTAATTAATTAAATATATATTTTATTAATTGTTTAATTAATTAAATATATTAAGATCATAATTTTTTATAATTTGATCACAAATTTCATATAATTAGTCACAAATCACAATTTTCATATGTTACAAATTATTTTACGATCACAATTCAAAAAATTTATAGGTCACAATTTGTTCATCGATCACACAATTATCAAATTAATAAGTTACATATTATTCATTGGTTACAAATCACAAATTTTATATATCACAAATTATTTTAACGTACAATTCAAAAATTTTATAGGTCATAATTTGTTCATCGACCACAAATAAAAAATTTATACGTCACAAATTATTTATCGGTTACAAATCACAAATATTATAAACCACAATTTATTAGATAGTCACAAATTATAAAATTATCAGTCACAAATTAACAATTTTTGAGGTCACACATTTTTTTTTTTTTGTCACAATTTATCTTTTTCATTAATCGAATGTTGTTTATCGATTACAACATAATCAATTTAATTGTCACAAACAATCAAATAATCTGTGACCACCATCAGCAGTTGTGACTACAACCTCAGCCACCAACGGAATGGCAACCGAAATCCCATTGCCGGAACCACCACCACCACCTCCCGACAACAACCCATCGTCTAAAAATATCGACATCAGAACCCCCACCACTACCCACCCACAACCACCGCATCACCACCACTAAAACTAAAATCACAGAACCTCCACCACTACCCCATCCTACAACCTAAAAAAATTCACAACCCTACCATCATCGTTGTGGCCACCACCATCTCCATCACAGCAATCACCACAATTACCATCTTCTTTATCTTCATCTCAACCACACCGTAACCACCAACCCCACTAAAAAAATCCCCAAATTGCCACCACCACCAATTCAACACCATCGCTAATATCACCACCGTTGCCGTCGCTACTACCAACAACCGCAAACACAACAAAAAAACTCAGAGATAAACACCATTTACACAGCTACACGTTGTGGCAGAAAGAAAATGAAGAAGGAGAGGAGGGAGAGAAGAAGAGAGAGAGAGAGGGAGCAGCTGCAACACAGGTGTACGAACATCGCAACATCGCAAGAGGTACATGTTGGTCGCCGGAGCGGGCTTTCTTTTATCTGTTGACATCGTAGCCGCCAACGGGAGAATGCGAGAGGGATAGGGAGAGGAAAGGAAGATTGGGTAATGATTTGAGATTTTTAGGGTTTAAGTAGTATAAAAGATTTGAATTAGTATCTGATTTTTTGTGGGCCCCCCCTCATGTGAGGGGGCCAGTAGGGGGGGTTATACACCCCCCCCCCCCGGTACAAGGAGGAAAACCCAAATAAATTTTATATNCCCCGGTACAAGGAGGAAAACCCAAATAAATTTTATATATAATTTTTGAAATTGAATTTTTACAATTCTGGTTTTGTGTAATTTCCTCATCTATTATTCCATTATTAAGTGAGCGAACTTGATATGGGCTGAAGTTGTCCTAATTAGTCTGGAAGTTGGATCGACCGGTTGTATTTCAATATTCAAAATTATTACTACAATTCAAACATTTCGTAAATTTAATCATTCTAGTCCACCTAATTATTAATATCAAATTCGAACTGGAATACTGTTGGTTATTTTGAAATTTATTATTTTTGAAAATATGGCCTTTTTTGAACCACTTTTTTGTAGAATGTGAATGAAAAATATAGCCGTTATTGGGGTCCACACAAGAGATAGAAAATTTAAATTTAAATTTTGATGTGATGGATAACGGTCATATTTTTCATTTCAACGAAAAAATAAGGTGGTCCAAACGGGGCTATATTTTGAAACTTTGTAGTTATGTAATGTTCCAATTCTAAACATGCATGGAAAATTTCAACCCTCTTTTTGTATATTGTTATTTGCTTCTGGAAAATTGGCACCAAAAGTTCCTAGAATATATACAAGGAGCACTTGAGTCCCTAACTAATTTTTCGTGGCATACGAGTCTCCAACATTTCATATTTATGGCAGTTGAGTCCAACTAAAAGTTTGTCAATGAAATGAAATGTATAGTAATTTAAGAACATTTACAACCTTGGTTTATTTTTCTTAAAAATTTTGAAAAGACGAAAGAAAAGGTTCATGAGAGGGAGGGTGGAGCCTTAGTGGTTGCCCTTGGGAGTGCGTTGATATCGAGGGCTAGATGAAGAATAATTTTTTTTTTTTCCACTTTGTTAGAAAAAATATTATATCTTTATTTTCTCTTGGTTATTATTATTGATTATTCTCGAATGGTGCAAAATGCATGCATTCATAATGGCCTATTAGCAAATAACGTTATTACTTTTTACTATTATTGTGAAAAACGTTTTTACATTTCATTTTTTGACATTTTCATCCTTGTTTTCATATTTCATTACGCAAAATACCATTTTCATCATTTTTTTTAATTAAAAGCTGTAAAATGATGAATATATCATTCTGTTTAAATAAAACAAAAGGAAAAAAATAATTGCAATCATAGTCTCAATTTTTTAAAAAAAGTGTAAACGAATCCTAAATAAATTATTAAAAGGATAATTAATACATAATGTCCCTACCTTTCACTATTATTGTGAAAAAAAATCCTCATTTTTTTATTTTTCGGTATTTTCACCCTTAATTGCATCTTTGAATTGCGTAAACCATCATTTCTATTCATTTTCATCCAATTTTTCAATGAAAAATCATGAAATGGCGAATATACCCTACTATATAAAAAATTAAAGAACTAATTACAACCATATTTCCAAAAAAAAAAAAATTAAATGTGTAAACAAATCCCAAATAAATTATTTAAAAAATTAAAAATTGATTTTTTTTGTAAAAAAGTGCAAACGAGTCCCAAAAAAATTATGAAAAAAATTAAAAAAAAAGTGCAAACAAGTCCTAAATAAATTATTAAAATGGTAATTAACACATCATGTCTCTACATTTCACCATTATTGTGAAAAACGTGCATATTTTTTCATTTTTTAGATAAAAATGATGGTTTACGCAATCAAATGTGTAATTAATGGTGAAAATTCCCAAAAAAATCAAAGGTATGAACGTTTTTCACAATAATAGTGAAAAATATGGACATTTTGTGCTAATTACATTTTAATAATTTATTTGAGACTCGTTTGCAATTGTTTTAAAATTTTGGGACGATTGTAATTAGTTATTTCTTTTTTTTTTATTTAAATAAAAATGTATATTTGTCATTTCACTACTTTTAATTGAAAAAATATATGAAAATAACTTTTTGCACAATGAAATGTGGAAATAAAAGTGAAAATGTCAAAAAATAATAAGTAAAGACATTTTCTACTAATAATGAAATATAAGGATGTTATGGGCTAATTACCCAATTTATAATAGTATTTGTTGACAGTATCCCATAAAAATAGAAAGTTGGGGACCTATAAGGTGTGAAAAATTGGTTAAAGACCCAAGTGCTCCTTACGGAAATGTTAGGTACCTCCAGTTCCAATTTCTCTTTCTTTTTAATATATATGTCTTTTGAATCCCACAGCGGCCACTTACTAGTCTTACTTTAAACTGAGTATAAGGTAATTAATTGGCCTAAAGTAGCCAAAATTAAAGCATAAACTAGCAAATGTTCAATTAAAGAATAATACCTTGGACTTAGGAGGACCGTTTGGTATGGTAGATGGTTGGGTCTCCTTCCATGGCCTTGGAGTAAAGGAGAGGCAAAGCAACAATTTCTTTTTATGCCTCAGGGGCAGAGCCATTCGAGATCAAAAGGTGTCAATATTGAAACTTTGCATTGCTCGGAAAGCGTCATCTATGAGGCTTGGATTAGCCTAAAGAGGCTCTACGTTACCTCAGGGGATCACCGGTACTGCAGTCTCTCGTATACTTTTGTTTAGTCTAGTGGACCTGTTTGCATAGATGACATCCATGTGGTGTATCGGATGGATAGAAGTGTAACAAAAATCATTTATTAATATATTCCTTTAAGGGGACAATTCTTATTCTTTCGATGTTTATAAAAATATTATGGCGATTTTAGGCTTCATTGTCCATTTATACACATTTGGTTCTGATTCCTGATGCTATTCGCGTTCCAAATACACCACAATCAAGATATTTTCCTACCACACAGTTTGGACAATGCAATTTCATGGATATATTATCATTTAAGAAAACTTAGTTCTTAGAAAACTTTGATCCGGTTGAATTGGATTAACAGCTAGAACTAGAAGCAATTTTGATTATGATTGATACTTTTTAAACAACCTTTTCTTTCCAACCATCTTTAGATGTGTTATTTTTTTCTTAATTATTTGTTAGGAAAGTTACTTATATTGATAGAAGTACTTGTTTCTAACTTCAACCAAGAAAATGGTTATTTAAATTGTAACTTATTTACTTCTAATGTAGATATACTTAAATTTGAATTTTGTCACCCTAGCCAAAAATGCAACTGCCAATCACTAGATTATTTATTGCAAGAGAAACTGATGATAACAAAAAAATATATACATTATTTGATCAAGGTTGACAGGGATAAGTAGATTCAGATGAAAATAATTTATTTATTTCTTCCTTCCTTCCTAAGAATAACATAAAAATCTAAGTTGTGATAGACGTCTCAACAGCAACCCCCACACCAGAGTAATTAACTTCACGAATCTTGTCATTTTCCCAAAGTTCTGGTATTGCTTCCCTCAGATAGTGGATGCTTTCCATTGCATAATCTGCTCCTTTCACTTTCTGAGATTTCCCAACCTGGATGCAAATTTAGCACAATTTTTTCATTGTTTGATCGGTAAGGTGGACGGTATAGTACAAAACTGTATTAAAGATTGTCTAGTCGTGTCCCGTTTAATGCCCTATTTAGCTCAATAATTTCAGCATGATTCCCTTCTGATCAGGCAATTAGTTTTATTATGGAGTGTTGTTAGGACTACTTACCAGCACAGTATGGAGGCCTACCCGTTTTCCAGACTGAATGTTTCGAACACTATCCTCAAAGAACAACTGCAAGATCAAACAAAACTGCACGAATGAGCACATGAAGTTCGAAATTTGTTTGGTAAAATTAACGTTTGAGTTGGAAAAGTGGTAATCCTACAGTTCTGAGTGGATTGATATAGGCAATTTCAAGAGCCCTTTCGATGGCAGATTCTGATGGTTTGCAGATAACTGGTGTCTTTGGCAACCCATCAGATCCCTCATTAGGCTGACAAAAATGTCCAATAATGTCGAAAATCTGAGGGCTGCCGTTAGAGGCAGTAGAAGATTGTGTGGATCCCAGAAACTCAATATCATCTTCATCATCAGATATCGAGCTCTTGTGAATAGGATTCAGAGTCTCAAAGCAAATAATCCCTTCAAAACAGTCCTCCAAACCAAGTTTGCTGAGAACCTTGATGGCATGGACTTTATCAGCATTTGTGAAAATCTATTATGCAATGAAAACCGAAAGTTAGTACCATAATTAGAAATTTGTTAGTTTAGATTCATAACTACTGCACAAAATACTTACAACTTTCCGAACTGGCAAGCTTAACAAAAGGCTTCTCAGAACAGGATCCGGCTTTAGATTTTCATAAGGCAATCTCCCATGGACAAAACTACAAAATGCCAAGTCAGAGGTTCAATAGCTTAACTATGTCGAATGCCTCCTTCCCTTTGCTTCTTATAGCAATAAACTGGAACCTCGCCAGTTAATTTCTACTTAAAACAAACATATCATCTGACATATCTAGGCCAATAGAATAAGAAATTAAGAGATAAGGCTCCTCACCTATGATATTCATCATAGTCAAAATCATAGCCAATAGCCTGCACATAAAATATCCCATGACAAATGGTCTCTACACAAATCATGTTCCAATTAGCTATCGCAATGAAGTAGAAAGCTTACCCTAAGGCCTGCCATTGTAGTCCCATAGTTATTGTACAGCAGGTTACCCATATCAGTGATTTTGCTCTCTTCAATTCCAAGTTTTTTGATCATATAATCTAGAAAAGTAAATACATTATAAATAAAACACAACTGAAAAATTTAACTTTAAGTCCTACTAGACAGTGCAGTCAATAATGTCTAGTTTTGTTGAGTCCATTTTATCAAACAAGCCATTAACCGTAGTACTCAAGAACAACAAGAAACAATCTCACCTTGAATGTTTTTAAGAACAGCCGATGCCAGACCAGAACTTAGGGGGTAAAGAGTATCATCAAGATCTGAAAAGTTCAAAGAATGCTTCAGTCTTGTTTCTCCCATAAGTGAAATTTAAAGATTGTCATTATTTTAAAAACTAACCAAATAGAAGACAATCATATTTTGGCCTCTGAACTTGCATGTACAGTTCATCGCTTTCCATCTTGATCTATATTAGGAGAAATATGGGTCAATGTTGGCTCGCAACTAAAGTGAAATTTAGAAAAATACAACTAAAAATAAACACAAATATTTACACGGTTACCCAATTTAAGCTATGTCCACGGACAAGTATAGGAGGATTGCACTATAATAGAAGAATTATAATAATCACATCTTTAAATACGAGAGGATAACAATAATTAATCTTTCTCGTAATAGGAGAAACGAAGTAGAAAACACTCAGAAATATATTTTTTTCTCCTAAAATTTTATGCGTCTCTCTACGCACTATTTCTTCTCTCTTCACCTCTCTACAATTATACATTTTCTCTTCGAACTATGTCCCCCTATTTATAGTGAAATGTTGCCACATACCTCATTAATTATGATACCACAATTCAACATAAACATTAAAAGATTGATTGTCTTTACTGTATACATTTCGACTAAATTTCAATCTTCCAATCCTCAGCATTAAATGGGAAGGTAGCCTGCATTAGCATTAAATGGGAAGGTAGCTTGCATTTAATGTGTTGACATAGTGGAGATTGCTTGTACCCTTAAAGTCAACAAAAGTGGCTTAAATTTAATTTTGTTGTAACCCTTCTTATTTTCCTAAATTTACAGTTTTCATACAACTTACATTTCCACTAAGACGATAGAGGACCGACCATTTAAACTCTTCATTACTAATATGCTTTGTTAATATATATGCTAGGTCATCATCTGTAAGAATTTTCTGTGTAACTGTACTTTCTTCTTCTACATTCTCTCAAACAAAATGATACTGAACTCGAATATACTTTTTCTTTGTGGAAATGCTGGATTCTTTGCCGGTGCAAAGCACTATGACTATCTGAAAATAGATAAATCTTCTATTGTTTGTGCCGGAGCTCCTTAGTTAATATTTGCATCAATATTGGCTCTTTGCTAGCTTATGTAGTTGCAACGTCTTCTTCCTTTATCGTAGAATTAACTACGATAGACTGTAGTTTTAAAACCTAGCTTACAACTTCTCCAGTAACATTAAACACATAACCTATGGTGGGCTTACTTTTGTCAAGATCACCTGTATAATCTGAATCAACATAGCTTTTGACAATAAAATCTGATCCTCCATAACATAATGTTGCATTTGAGGTACCCTTGACATATCTCAGGACACTCCAATGCTCTTTACCAGGATTTGCCATGTATCGACTAACCACTCCCACTGCTTGTGCAATGTCTGGATTTGACAACAACATCTGATCCTCCATAACATAATGTAGCATATGAGGTACTCTTGACATTCTCAATATCCTTTTTATAGACTGGATGCTCTTTACCAGGATTCCCCATATATTAAATAATCACTCCAACTACTGGTGCAATGTCTGGTCTTGTATAAATCATAGCAAACATTAAGCTGCCCACTACTAATATGTACCTACTCGAGACATTTCGATTCTCTCTACTTCATTGCTAGGACTTATACTTAAGGATAACTTGAAATTAATAGGAAGCTGGATAAAAATTGTTTACAATCTTGTATATTGAAGCGTTGCAAAATTTTCCTCACATAGTTCTTTTGACAAAAACAAATATTCCTATTATTTTTGTTTCGGTAAAATCACATATGTAAAATCTTGTTTTCTGGTCCCCAAGTCCCTCATTTCAAATCTCTAGCCACTAGTGCCTTCAAGTTTTTAATACGATCTTTGTTGAAACCTGCTTACAATATGTAGTCAACATACAACAGTAAAATAATGAAATCACTATCTCCAAATCTCATGTAGTAAGCATAATGATCTAAAGTGAGTCTATTACCTACATCTTAGTGCCATCTGAGACCATATAGAGATTTTTTCAACCTGCAAACTAGGTTCTCTTTTTCCTTTTTCATCAAAACCTTCTAGTTAGAGCATATAAATCACTTCATCAAGTTCTCCACGAAGAAACAGTTTTCACATCTAACTACTCTAAGTATAAGTTGAATGTAGTACACATCGCCAAGACTACTTGAACTATTGTGATTCGAACAATATGAGAACATTTTGTTGAAGTCAATGCTTTCTTTTTTAGTATATCCCTTCATCACCAGTCTTACATGATACTGCTCTACTTAATCATTGTCATCTCGTTTGATCTTATAGACCCACTTACTACCAATGTTCTTCCTTCCTTGTGGTAATGAAATAAGATACCATGTCTTTGTTTGTGAAGAGCTTCAGTTTCTACTTGAATTGCTGCGATCCACAGAGTAGTTCTTGGTTATTTATAGCTTCATAGAAAGTTGATGGTACTACCTTCCATATTGTACTCTAAGTGCCAAGCTAGTTCTCTCCTCTCCCGAGTTGATCGTCAAACTTCTGGAATTCTAAACTCAGCTTGTTCTTATTCTTCATGCTCTAGTGCTACTTCAAGAGAATTTGAAACTTCTCGTTCTTCTCTATATTCAACTAGTCTATGGTTTCTATTTTGAAGCGCTACAATTTTCTTTTTCTTGTACCTTATCTTTTACAAATATTACAAATGTTATCACCTTGGGGCCGTAAGATTCCGCAGGCGATACGCATTGACTCCATCAGCACACCTAAGAAAATGTATTTTGTAAATTTTGGATTCAACCATGATATTTCTTATGCATTGTATATGATGTACACGATACTTTCAAATACATATAAGCAAGAATAATCAGCTGGCTTATCAATCTACATCTCTATGGACGTTTTTAGATCAATCGAGGTTGATGGTGATTGATTGATCACATAATAGGTGGTTTTGACTGCTTCTGCCCAGAATGTCTTGGCCAGCCTTGCACCTTTCAACATTGTTCTTATTATCTCTAACAAGGTTTTGTTCATCCGCTTTGTTACTCTGTTTTGTCGTAGAGTGTGCACTGCTGTGAACTGTCTCTTAATACCTTCTTGTTGATATAAGTTCTCAAATTTATCACCGATAAATTCTTCTCTATTGTTCATCCTGAAACACATGACCTTTTCTAATTCAAGCTTCGCAGTGCTTTTAATATTTTGAAAACTGCAAACACATCTACCTTATTCTTGATTGGATATACCCATCTCCTATAGTAGTCATCAATGAAAAACACAAAGTATTTTGCATCTCATAGGGATAAAACTGGTGCTTGCCAATCATCCGAATGAAGCAACTCTAGAATAATTTTACTTCTAGCGGTGAATATGATGAACTTCAATCTGTATTGCTTACTAGTAGCACAATGCTCACAAAAGGGTAATGAAACATTTCTGAGCCTTAAAAGAAGCTTTTATTCTGAGAGCATTATCAAAATCGGGGTTCCGACATGTGGTCAAGCTTGCGGTGTCCTATCATCGTTAATTCTTCTGTTAAACTTGTCGATGCAACGACTACTTCTGTTTCCTGTAGAGTCTCTCCTTTAAGCATTACAAATATGTAGCTATTTTTTCTATTTTTATCAACACAAGCACGCATTTGGATATCTTCATGATCATATCTTGAACATGGGTTTTGCACCCAATATTTTCTAATTGCCTAATTATTTTTCTTCGGCACTTTACGTATCGTACCTCGCGGATGGTGCGAACTGTATCATCATACATTTTCAATTCGATGGTATCAATACTAGTTATTTGCAAGGCATGATCATTCCACATATTCACCTAAGATAAGTTCATATTGATGGAACCATTCTCTTCATGGCGTCATGTGCCATGTAACTCCTGACTTCATAAGTCAAACGTTAACAAACCGCTTTCTGCTTCCAACGACTATTGTTACCTCACTATATAAAATCTCTCCATCATATGAGGTACTTACTACAAAACCTTGGACTTTTAATGACTTGGGTTCCTTTGGCTTCTTCCTTTTTAAAAAAAAATTCCAACGGTCCCTTTCTTGCCACAATGATGACACGTGGCATTCTTCTTACTTCTAGGTTTTGATCTACTCTGATTATGACTCCCACTGGAGCTACGTTCCATTGATCTCCCTGCCATCATTGTCAAAGCTTCTGCTTATTGTGAACTTGTTAATCTGTCACTCTTATTCTTCCGTTGGCTTTCTTTTTAAAAGCCGCAGTTGCGACATCGTCGAAGACTAGACTTTATATGTTGTTGGTTAAGTTGATGTTGATTTAATCATACGAATCTGGTAGACTTTTAAGTAAAATATCATCACATTCACCCATCTCTATGCTATGCCCTATTATTGTAAGTTGTGAAAAAAAAAGTGTTAAGGGTCTTTTGCCATCTTCTTGACAATACTCCATCGACTAGTGTTAGGTGCAGATTAGAAATTATAATGTCACCCATCTCGAGGGGTTGCTCAATTGGTCAGACTTTGAGTTTGCTCCCAATGGTCACCAGTTCGAGTCATCTCGGAACCACTGATGTGAGTACCCAGTCGTAAACTTCAGGGTCTCTTGGGATTAGTCGAGGTGTGCGCAAAACTGACTCAGATATCCACAGTTATCAAAAAAAAAAAACTTCACTCTAATACTACTACTACAAACAATATGGGTCAAGGTTGGCTTGAAACTAAAATGGAATTGAGAAAAATATAGCTAAAAATGGACATAAATATTTACGTGGTTCACCAAATTTAGGTTGTGTCAATGGGGAAGTATAGAAGGATTGCACTATAGCATAAAAATTACAATAAACTCCTCTATAAATACAAAAAAATAACAACAATCAATCTCTCTTATCATAGAAGAAACTAAGTAGGAAACACCCATCCTCTCTCTTATAATAGGAGAAACTAAAAGAAACACCCATCCTCTCTATAATTTTATCTGTCTTCTCTACTCACTATTTCTGCTCCTTTCACCTCTCTACAATTCTACATTTTCTCTTCAAACTGCATCCCCTATTTATAGTGAAATGCTGCCACATACCTCATTAATCATGGCACCACAATTTCAACATAAACAGTAAAAGACTGACTGCATTTCCTGTACACATTTCTCTAAAGAGAAAATTTTCAAATTTTCAATATTAGCACTAAATGCAAAGTGGCTTT